GGAAGAAAATTAACTCTATTCCAGCCGAAACCAGGACACCCCCCAGATATCCAACAGTAATAACCTTATTGCTGACATTACTGGCTCCTTGTTTTGTTCCGTAGCATGGTGCTGTTTATTACAAATATTTACTTAAATCATGTGAAGGAGGGTCACCAGGGAGGGTATTAGGGAAGCAACTTCCTCAGTTTGCACAGTGGATGCAGTGTTAGAGCAATGCTGTTTTCCCGTGTGGTGGCCAGTCCTGGTTTTGAGCATGGACTTGGAGAGAGAGGCTTGCTTTGAGGTGATACCTTGGTTTAAAGGGGGGTGGTTTCAGACACCTCACCCCTTTCTGTGCCCTGACCTTTGGGCTGAGGCTCTTCTCATGTGGAGAGAGGAATTTCTCAGCCTGATGGTTTGGGAGACAGAAAGAGAAACTGTCATTTAAAGCTTCCTTTTGTGGAGGAGGAGCAGGGGTTGTCACAGGTGAGAGGATGAATTGTTCCATTCTGCATAAATCATCCCTCTCCATTCAAAAGAAAAATGGCAGGGTCCACGTCAGAACTGAGTCTTTTGGGATAATATTCAGAGTTTCTGGTGTGCTATCCCCCTCCCTGTGTGATGTGTGTGTGTGTGTCAGAGCTGTCGCTGAGTTTGTCTCTGCAATTTGTCTGATTTCCTTCTGCAGTGTTCTCAAACAGTGTAAAGATGTGGAGCTCTCCTTCAGTGACGTGACGGGTAAGCCTGAAGCCTTCAAAGGCACCAAGAAAGGGATGCTATACCTCACTCCTTATAGGGTAAGTCTGATGCCAGCAAGGCTGCTTCTTTCTTAAGGGATCTTGTAGACTTTAGACCAGAAGCCTAGTTGGTGATAGAAGAAGTGATTTTTGTTATGGGAAGAGCCACTGAGAGTACTAGGTAGGAGAAAGGGAAGGTGGAAATAGGATAGTTCATGGCTGTGTCAGAATCCCAGTTCCCTACAAAGGCACATGCAGTCCTGGAAATCACTGTCTAGAGAATATATTTCATATAATGTGTCAGTCCATATTACTTTCTTTGAGAACTGTTATAGTGTATCCTTAAAAAGCAGAGCAATAAAACTCTGTAAAGGTGCATGTGTGTTTTAAGTGGTGTATTATTTTGCAACATTCATGCTTCAGGCAAGTGAGCCGTGTGCCATCAAATCTGTTTGGGATCTCGCAGTATTAAAGCTGTGAAATAACACAAAGCATACTGATACTAGGAGTTGTTACCTTCTTTTTGGATGCTGCTACAATTAGAACTCCATGACCACCCTTTATATCTAATTCAAGTAATGCAGAGGCATTCCCTCCTGTCTTGCAGATGATTTTTGTGTCGAAGGGCAAGGATCCTATGCTGTCTTTCATGATGCCGTTTTATTTGGTGAAAGGATGCTCAATTGAGCAGCCTGTTTTCTCTGCCAATTACATCAAAGGACAGATTCAGGCCGAGGCAGGAGGTATGTGCCTGTGCTTTGTAGACTGAACTCTTCCCAAGTGTCACAAGTCCTTTTATCTTCTGGTGAACATCAGATAGATGGCTTATGTGCACAGGAAAGGCAGACAGAGTAGCTACAGTAGTATAGCTAGCATGTCCACACTAAGGTAACCCGTGTCTTCTGAACTTTAAGTCACTGCTTCAGTGTTAATTTCTGCCCCCAAAGCTAATAAGTTACTTTCACAGGATGGCTTTTGTTTAATCCTGTAACTTCTCACTGTGTATGTCATGTTTCCTTGGTTTCCGCATGTGCTTGTTTTCCTGTCTTTGACCTGGAAGGGTGGGCAAGTGACCAGGTCACCAGCCATTGGTATTGATAGACAGAATTAGCAACCACTTTTGTTTTCTGGAGGTCATTAGTCACTTACCAGATTGGGTACGTTTGCGTGCGTCTAGGATGCTGCTGTATATCATTGATTTAGCTGTGTTCCCAATTTGATGATGAAACTGTGGTAAGACTTGGTCATATGGAACTGCAGAAGGTAAACAGGGATTAAAAACAGCTTCTGGTTCAAATTTCTTCCCTCTTCAGCCCTAGAACTACTTTATGTGCATCTTGATGGCATCTGGAGAGCTTATGCTTTTACTTCCTGTTCCTAACAATGTCTTAAAGTGACTGGGTCCTCTGGATTGTGGGTCAGCCCAGTTTCTCAGGCTGAAATCATACTAAGACAGTGATTTTTTTAAAAAGGTGAATCTCCAAGGGGATGACTTTATCCATGGTGGATTGTTTTGTTATATTTCTGTCCTTTATGTCTACTTTGTCCCCAAGAGACTCTCTCTACTTCTACGAACTTCATTGTTAGTCAGACAGATAAATCGCATTTTATGACATTGTTTATTTAAAAGACACCTTTTTTCTAAAAAAAAAAAAAAATCCCCCACACCCCCCGCCCTCAAAACCCCAAACACAACACCAAAAATCCTGTACAAAACAAAGCATTCTTATCCTGCAATGTCATCACCTACTTGCTTTTTTTCTGAAAAAGTGCTATTATACCTAAGCATTTATAATCTGTCTGAGTTTCTGTGGGTCAAAGTGATTAAAAATGTTGCATTTGATTTATATCCAAGCTTGAGTTGCAGATCCTGATCTGTAGTCCACTGAGGTCAGCAATAAAACTTCAGTTGAGGGCTTTCAATTCAAATCCTCAGTGAATTAAGTGTTCTTTCTTTAGACTCTGTTCACTATTAGGTTCTATTAAACCTTTCAGGAAAGGACAAAATGTCCTAGTATCTACAGTAGGCTGCTTCTACATAACTATAGTGGGGATTGTCTTTTAAAGGGTAAAGAAATAAATTCCTGATCTTCTTGAGATATTTTGGGGAACATCTGATAGCAGTGCAATGATTCTTCCCCTTGGCGATATGATGCAAAACAGTTTTGTAATAAAGAAGAAAAAAATAATTGGAATATTAACTGTTTTGCTGGCTTGACTGCTACTGAGGAGGTTAATAGTCTGTTTCAATTCTAATTCTCTCTCCTAGGTGGCTGGGAAGGGCAGGGGACATTCAAACTGACTTTCAACAGTGGAGGAGCCATTGAGTTTGGACAGTTGATGTTCAAAGTTGCCTCTAATGGTAAGGGATCTTCAGAGCCTGCAGATCCCCCTGATTGGCTGAGCTACTTAGAGAAAAGTGCTCTTTTTGAACTTCATAGGCTGGGGGAAGAGGGATACTCTATGCACCTTCTACAGCAATGTTGCGGGTTTTTTTTCCAAGGGAACTTTTATTTTTCCTTCCAATCCTTGTTCTTTAATTCATTGTAACGCTCCATGCAGTCAGAATATTCTGGAGTTTGTGCTTATAAGGTGGACCACCTTTTTCTACAGAACCTTATTCCTCCTGCAATAAAGTTGAAATACGTGATGGTGAAAAATTGATCCACTTACCTACCCTCAGCTCAGTTCTATAATAGTGGAATAAGAGGGGGGGAATTAACATGTCCACATTTGGAAGAGGCAAAAATACATTTAAAATAATAACTTCTATTTAAAACTTTCAAATGGGGAAAAATGTACTTTTTTTTTCTGACACAAAAGTTTTCTTTTTAAAGAAATGTGCACTTTAAAATGTACTTTTTTTTTCTGATAAGAAAGTTTAAAAAGAAGTAAAAACCACCCTACTGATACTTGCTTTAGGATGGTCTTTCCTTCCAGGAGCAGGAGCTCTGTGATTGAACTGGTACCTGATAGCTAGTATTTTTGCAGCTGGTTTCCTTTAGCACCCTGTCAACTTACAGCGAGGAGGCTAATGCTTTTCAAGCGTAGTACTTTGCCAGGATTGTATCGTGAATTTAGATGATGGGAAATGGTGCTGCATGAACAGGACTATTTTCCTTTTATTCTGTATGTTTAATTGTAACAAAAGGATGTCTGGCTTACTAAACCTGTGCTCCTTAGCTTCCAGTGGTGTTCCTCTCCAGAACCCGGGCTATGGCTATACACCTGTGCCCGGAGGGTATGCACCCGCCCCGCCTGCTCCAGGGGGATATTCACCTGCGCCGGGGGGCTACGCTCCTCCTCCACCACCAAACGGACCATATCCTTATGCGCCACCTCCGATGAATGCCTATGGACCTGCTCCGCAGCCCATGGGATATCCATATGCCCAGACTCCAGGTTTGGAAGTTGTGTAATGATGACTGGCAGGGTGTGTTTGGTGTTAGCTGTAAAGAAATCACAGTGGTATGGTGAAGGTTACTGTAGTTTTGTCTCCATCAAGGATCCTTGTCCTTGCAAAAATCTGTTGCGTGCTGTTGATCTCACCCGTGTGTCTCTATAGTTGCAGCTGAATGGGAGGTGAAAATGTGGTTTGTAAATTGCGCTGCTGCTTGGCAGAGAATTGTTGCCTGCTGGTATGACAGGCATTAGCAAAATGTCAAATCCCTGCTGTCTGCATCCCTGCAAGCCTGCAGAGCTTCCTTGACCGCTGCTCTTGTCCAGGGCTAATGTGCTGCTGGGCCTGTGAGCTCTCTTCCCCTCTGTCCCATTGCCATGGTCCAAAGTATCAATCCAGTGTCATCTTTTTCAGGTATTTACCCACCACTTCCAAACATGAACCCCGTGTATGTGCCACCTCCTCCCCCCTACTCTGGGCCGTCTCCTGCAGGACCCTCAGCTCCCTCAGCTCCCCCAGCTTGGATGGGCCCGCAGATGCCAGGTAATGGGACTGGGGAGCTGCTAGGGTCCGGATGCAAAAGGGTGCTTGGGGGCTTGGGCTGTGGGTGTTGTTGGGGGCACAGCGTGGGGTGGGGAAGCTGTTGTTGCAGGAGCTCAAAGTCATCTTGATCTATTATTTGAGATAACAGGGTGTGGGGGAAGCTGCTCAGCTCTGCATTGCACAGCTGGTGGTCAGCTCTAGCCAGCTTGCAGCTTTCCTGAGCTGCTCTGAATTCAGACCCAGCTTGCTGCGGTTGCTGCAAGCTCTTTGGACATTTGTCAGCTCCTCAAAAGAGCTATGGCTGGGCAGAAGGCTCTGGGGCTGGGGCCACTGCCTAAGGCACATGGATGAGCGTGTCCTACGCTTGTTTCTTCCCTTTCCTTTGTAGGGGGCAGTAAGGCCATGGAAGCCGCTTCCAGTGCATATTACAACCCTGCCAACCCACACAATGTGTACATGCCCATGGTGAGTACTACGCCTGTGGCCTGCGTATGCCTGCTCCCTCTTCCGTCACTAATAGAGACAGCGGTTTGCTTCCCTAGCAAAACCTAGCGTGCCTTCATTTTGAAAGTGCACAGAAAGTATGCATTTTCCTGGGAGGTGTGGATGATAGTGCCATGAAGGAGGCTTGTTAAATCCTTAGTCGGGAAAGGAGGAGGGGAGGGCCTTAGAGTAATCCAGTAACAGCCATTCAGTACGACAGAGCTCTCTGCTTCTCTTGGGCCTGAAAGTGGGAAGAGTTAAAGAAGAGCAGGTCACTGAAGGATGAGAGCATATGGGTTTCATTTTCATTTTTTTCTGGGCTGCATGGAGGTGGGGAGGTCTCTTACTGTTCAGTCAGTGGCAGCCGGTAGGGAGGCTGTAGCCTACGGCCTTGTGCCCTCCGGTTGGTATATGACAGCCAGTCTGTCTGTACCCTTCACGGCCTCCTGTGGCAATCTGGTGGGTTGGAGACCGATGGAGCAGCAAAGCTGGCCCTCAGCCCAGGGGCTTGCTGTCTGCTGGGTCGGAGCTGTGAACATCAACAGAGATAAAGCCCTGGAAGTGAAGGGAGGGTGGCGATTAAAAGAGATTAAATGGTCTGTTTGCAACAGACCATTTGTTACCTGGTTTTGAGGGGACCTTCACTAGAAACATTATGGGAGGCAGCATACATCCCAGAGCATAACTGATACTAGAGAGGAATGGTGTGCTGAAATGACAGCTTAAAACACAGCACCTGGCTCTGTCTGTAGGTCACTGAAGAGCAGTCATTTCTTGTAAGCCAAGCCTGGGAATGCCTGCGAAGAGCTCATCATAAGACGAGCTGGGTTGTTGACTCTACTGTATCTCTTTCCAGGATCAGCCACCTCCTTATGCACCTCCTGAGGATAAGAAGAACAACTAACAAAAGGAAATTGCAACCAGCCTCCCACACTCTCTCTCCCTGAAGACAACTTGGCTGTTACTACCCCTCGGGTTAGCGTATCTCTAGGTCTCTTTGTATATATACAGTATATGTAGTGCTGGGCAGCTGAGCACCTGCCCTCCTTAAACATTAAGTCAGTGGCAATACAAGGCGGAACAACAGCACTTTCCTGCTTATTTGCTTTATCTCATGGGGTCGAAGCACTAACCTTTTGCTCTGCCATTGGCTTGAAGAGAGAGATGGACTTCTTATTAAACCACCAGTAGACCACATGAGTAATCTAGGACTAAAATATGAAGGCTCTGTGATCTCGGAGTAAAACTACTTGGAATGCCAAACTTTTGACTTCTTCTGAAGCACCATCCAAGAGGAAAGGTGTAGAGAGCCATGAGGTTCCTTGCACAGACCCTTGGGTGCCCCAGAAGGGTGTTAAATTTCCTTAAATTCTGGCACAGTTCAGCGTGAGATGGGACTCTGGAAATCCTGTATCGTGCTGGAAGTGTGTGTTTCATGTCCTGGACTAACAGTCATGGGGTGATGAACTTGGGAAGTACATCTTAAGAGACATTGAAGCATTTGTCTACGCAAGAGGGAAGGGGATTGGGCCCCATTCAGCCTGCCTTTGTAGACACTGAATAGAAAAGCAAACAAAGGTGTGCTGCAGGGCAGTGAGCTGATAGACTGGCAGGCGTACGCATCAGTCTTCCTTTCCCTCTCCTAGAAGCAAGTCCCATGTCTGTGCAATGATCCTGTGTCAAGCAGCCGTTCTTCAAGCGTAATGGAGTCAAGTGCTGCACAGGAGGCTGCTTGCCTTGGAGCAAAATATGTTACGTTAGGAAGATGAGCTGGCACCAGCCTTGTCAGGAGACGGGTCCCACAGCCCTGGCTCCTTCTGAGCAAGCTCGCGCTGTGCGCTCGCTCCACAGGGGAGAACTGGCCTTCGTCTTTTCCTTCAGCCGCCGCTGCAGCCAAGGCGCGTGTACCCGCATCTGAGCAATGTGGGTGGGTGGGCGCTGTAATACCGGCGGTGGGTTGCTTAGGGGGGCAGTGCCCTCTCGCAGCTGGGAACCGCTGTCTGGTGTGGATGTTACTAACACTCGGCTCTCTTGCAGAGCCTCTGGCTGCTCAGCCACAATCTTTCTTCCTTCTTCCTTAGGACATAGTGCCATTAAACCTGCTCTGAAGAGAGTCTCTCTAGTCTGGTGGAGACCCTTGTGATCCTTTACATATGGGGTGATTGTACTTCTTCCTACAGCCTTCCTACCTTCACAGTGATGGGGAAGGAGCATTTTCCCTCTTTCTTCCCTCTGTGCCAGGGCTCTCCTGTAAGTCAGGCTTGCATGACTTGCAAGTGTGAATTCCTAAAGCAGCCCTGCATGGGGGTGGGGGGGAGTAAATTTCCTTATCTATAAACACCATTTAAGGCTGAGTTAGAGATATTCTAATAACTCTGTATTTAAAAAAAAAAATCAACCATGAATGTTTGTAACTTTTGAATTGCACTTTAATACAGGAGTGTTGATACCTTTAGCTGCCTGTTCACTGGTGTGTGTGTGTGTTGTGTTGACCTTCATTCCTGCCTACTGCACAGAAGGCTGGAACAAACAACCACCACTGATGGTGGTCTCTCGGGTGGGCTGTGGGCCAGTCCTCCTCTCTCCCTGGTGCATGACTAACATGGATTTGGAATCAAGTAACTGGGGGGGTGGGGGGGGCGGGGCTCATCCTCTTACTGCCTGGAGAGGGTGGAAGGCAGGTGTGTGCCTTTGCTCTTGCCCAGATATCCAGAACCGGCATGTGTTCATGTCCTTGGGGCAGGCACCACACTGCATTTGGCAGGGGCAGCGTCAACACCCTGCCACTCACTTAAGGCTGTATTCTTAGCAGCTCTCCTGTGTACATTTACATTTACTGCTTATCTTTAGGCAGTAGGAAGGGCTATCTTTAAGAGGAAGTCCTCTCTAGCCAATTTTTTTCCAGTGAGGGAAAAACAAATATATGGTAAAGGAAAATGGCACTTAACTGGGGACTGTACAGTCTAAGTTTCCCCTTGTGCCAAGGAAAGCCGGTGCCCTGATGAACATGGTGTAACTACGGGAAAGCAGTTTTCTGCTCTGCATCAGTCCAGCCTCTACAGGAAACCAGTTCTACTTCTTAGCATAGTTGTTCCTGTTTTGAGGTACTGACCCTGTAATCCTACATTATCAAGTAGCTATACACAGCAACACTGAATAAACATGAAACAGAGAGCCTGTGACCTGCTTCCCTTTTATTTCAGTTAATTTGTCTCAATTGCTCACCAAGAACAAAGCCAGCTTCTGTATACAGACACAAAATGCATTCATCCTTTCCTGTTAGCAGTGCAAGCATTGTGTTGAGTGCTGCTGCACTCAGAAGAAGTTTCTGGAAGTGGCCAGAATCAGACATTTGGTCCTGCAGGAACTGGCATGGCCGCCGAACCCTCCTTCATCATCTGAACAGAAAAGGGAAATTTTGGGGGGGGGCACAGCTAATCTAAAATGTGGTATTTCTCTGGTCTGAGACTGAATCTTGGCGGTCTCCCTGGGCTACAATCTTCAGAGGCAAGCTTCACAAATGCTGCACCCCTCTCTAGGACAGTTAGGGCAGGCCCCATCTCTGCTAGAACTCCGTAGGATGTGCACTGTATGAAGGTGAATCAGCTGAGGCCTCTAGAGTCTGTCCTGCCACTCACTTCCAGTTTATTAGATGGGGCTGTGGATGTAGCTGCCCTTGGGAGAAGGAGGAGCCTTTCCCTGAGAAACCCTGAGTGTTCAGCCCACTGGAGAAGGGCCCGAGCCCCCTTTTAGCAGGAAATTTCCTGCTAGAGCAAGAACAGGATGCAGCGTGCAGCTCAGAGGCACCATCGCCCAAAAGACCTCAACCGAGCATCAGCATCTTCCCAACACCGCTCATGTGCGCAACACACTACGGCTCTGCAGTTTTTGGTGCTGCACCGCAGCAAGGCTGCTAGGAGTGTGCATTTGAGGTTTTTGCTCCGCTGTAAACTGATACCAGAGGGGCTTTAATCCAATGCTAGCATGCACGCTAGGCTGTAGTAGTGCTAGCCTGCAGGATCCTAGCAGCAGGATCAGGCCTGCCAGCAAAGCCTCTCTGCACAGGACCATCACGATTCCAGGAGCTCTTGGTCCTGGGGAGGGTACATGGGAAGGCTGCAGCCCTAGTGACATCTCCTTATTCTAAGCCAAGCTGATTATAGCAGAGGAAAGGTGGCCAGGTCTGATCCTTGAGGCTAATGCCATCACATACAGGGCGGGGAGGGAAGGGGGTGTCACCACCCTAGAAGATACTAAAGCATCCCAGGCATTTCTACATGCATCGTTCAAGCAGCCCCTGCAGCAGTTGGTGCTGCTCAGTTCAAAGCACTCAGGTGTCAGAGCTGACGAACACTGCTTGTATGGCATCTTCCACAGGGGGATCTCGAAGGGCTTTGCAATCACCAAGGAATCACACTCTGCACACCTTTAGGAGGTGGGTAACAAGAATTCCTGCTTTACGCAGACCGAGTACCAAGCTGGTACCAGAGGAATGACTGGATGGTCGCTTCCCAGCACTGCTGGGCATGCCAGCAAAAGGCACTTGTGTAATGAAGAGCCATGTGCCCCAGGGTCTCGTGGCTCACCCCACCGCTGACCCACAACCCCTGTCCTCTGAGCCTCGTCACAGGAGAACCGGGTGGAAACCCTCGCTGGGGGCTTGCTGTCTAACAACGTGCCAGGGCTGTGCTGGGAGCCCTATGGGATAGAGATACCACATCACCACCCCCGAGGGGTTAATAACGACTGAGAAGCTGTCTCCTGTCTTTAAGCCACTGAAGACCTTCCCACTGTACACGTCTTGTACCTGGAAGAGAGAGAGATGGTGGTGACCAGGATTTCCAGACCTTTCACCTTGAGGTCCAGCCATGGTCACTGACATGGCATGGTGGGACGGGACACAGCCGTAGGCAACAGGAGGGCAACCCAACAGGCGGCTGCCCCTTCGTCCTGGAGGCAGGGAGTGGGAGTCCTTCCCCACCAAAAATGCACAGGGTGTCAGCAGGGAAAGCTGGGAAGAGAGGGATCCAGGTGCCATGGGGCTGCCCCGCCATGCAGCACGCCAGTGGGGCTCACCTCATACATGGCGTCCTCGGGGAAGTGGAGCTTGGCCAGGCTGGTGGTGTAGAGGAAGGGCATATCTGTCCTCCGGCTGAAGAAGACGAGGGCGCTGGCAGCCTGGGACAGCGGGCGCAGGAACACCTCGATGTGTGATTTCTCCTAGGGGTGGGGATGGGTGGGTGAGGCAGAGCTGCCAGGACCAGTGCTGGCCCATAACTTCTGACCTTGCCCTGGGGGGCTGCTATGCCAGCAGGACCCCAGCTCCCAGAGCTCTCCTGCTCGTGTTTCTCTGCATCGTCTCCCTCTCCCTCCATATTGTGACCCCCAGTGCTGCTCCCATCTGCTCTCCCAAACACGTCCACCTTCCCCCTAACCTTGACAATCCTGCGCCCCTGGATTCCCAGGGGGTCCTGGTTGATCTGGATCATCAGGCGATTCTGCAGGATCTCCTTGGCGCTCGGGGAGATGGTGCGGAGATCCGTGGACATGAGGAGCGGAGCTGCCATCACCGTCCACAAGGCCATTTGGGAGCGGGACTGCTCATGGCTAAGGCCAAAGTTTCCAATGATGAGCTGGAGGGGAGAGGGGGAAAAGACAGGAGAGGCAGAAAAGGGTTAGAAACTGGTCTGCTTGCCACACTTGGTGATGCTGCAGCTTGCTGGGGGGAAGCACACACGGGAAACCTCCCACACACTTTTGCTTCCCCTTGGTAGGCTTACCACTGCCAGGACGTCCCACCCCTGCTAGGTGCTGAGCTGTCAGCACGCATTCAAACGCACTCACTAACACCCTTCGCTTCACCACTGTCCCCCCTCAGGCTGTGCAGGGAAGGACAGGGGTACCTGGACAACAGGACAGGTATATTCAAGCGGTGAAGGGTTCGTTTCACAGGCTTTTCCCACAGCTTAGCCAAGGGCAACACAAACTTTGCCTCTCTGCAGCAAGAGGGCTCCTGCTCCTGGTACTCTTCCTTCACCCTGCCCCTAGAAGGGGATCCCCGGAGAATCCCTGGCCCTGGCCAGGGTCAGTGCACCCACCACCCAGCCGCACCATGTCCGGGTCATTCCAGTGGCCGGGGCCAGCCGCCGGCTGCAGCACATCCTGGTTTGCGAAGAACCAGTCCAGGATGGAAAGCACACTGTCCCAGGAGTCCTGGATGTCGTCGTAGTTACGCCACAGGTTGCAGACCTCTGCCAGGACGGTGTAGTTCACCTGGAGAGGAGCACAGGGTCAGGCAGGAGGGAGAAAGGATGGGGTCTGCAAGCTGGGGGAGAAGGGGCAGCCAGACTTGTTGAGAGCTGCAGCATCCAGATGATGTTTGGTGTTTGCAAAGCACAGGGATGTGTAGAAGTGCAACATCATGCAATGAAGGAGGACAGAATCATATCCCACTATGACTGGGCACATCCCTGTATGATAGGTGTCTGGCAAAACAACCACAGAGGCCATGGGGAATTATCAGCTGCAAGAATGAGGGCAGCTGAGGATTGACTCAGAAGGTGGAAAAGGAAATAAATAAATGCAATCAATTCTCAACATTCCTAGGAGGAATATCCTATTTCAAGCACTTAAACCAGACAGGACCCATTTCTGACCCCAGTCAGAAGAACAGACTGCCAGGCTCAACCCCACACCAGCTGAGTGGGGTGGAGAGGGCACGCCCCAGGGCCTTCTTCCCCCCAACTCCCATCACCTAGCCACACTGGGAACCCCAAGTGTCCCCAGATGCCTGGCAGGGAAGCCACATCCCCTCCAGGGATCTGCAGCCCAATCCTATCACTGGTGGAATGATAAGCGGAATGCAGCACCCAGCTCCTGCAGCTCCAACAAGAGCTCCCCCAGGGCACAGGGGACACAGGAAAGAGCCACTGGACAGGACAACCCTCACCTTGGGGGGAAGACCCCCCTGATAAGCTGGCCAGCTGCAGGAGTAGACGATGGGGCGGCCCGTGGCGTTCAAGGCCCTCGCCATTTTTGGGTAGCCTTAGGGAGAGGAGAAGACAACTGGTAAAGGAGACGGGTGGCGGCAGCCTGTGTCCACAGCCGGCCCAGTCAGGGGGACCTCAGGCCAGCCTGGCCTCCTGCATTACACAGGCTCTAGGGCACCCAAACTCCCTCCTCTTTGCCCAAGAGCTGCAACAGGAGACACGAGGGAAGAACCGAAGCTGGCCAAGTGTTTCTGCAGACGGCCAGCTGTCCTGACCGAAGCTGCAGTGAGGGGAGAAACGCCAGCCAGCCGGGGAGCCTTTACCCTCTGCCTGCTCCTCTGCCGACGAGTAGCACCCATCCAGCTTCAGCATGTCCACACCCCACTCTGCAAAGGTCTGGGCATCCTGCTCCACACAGTCCAGCGTGGTGCCCGGGTAGCCCCCGCAGGTGAAGATGCCCAGGTCACCATAAATGCCCAGCTTCAGGCCCCGGGCGTGGACCTGCGAGGAGAGGAGAGCTGCAAGGAGGGGATGAAGGGGTCCAAGGTGCCTCCCAGGAATGGGCGGCGTGGGGACATGGAGACCCCCCTCCATCCCCAGCAGGCACTCACGTAGTCAGCCAGGGCCTTTATCACCCTGGGAACCCTC